TTCTAAAAAAAAAAAAAAAAAGAAATAACAAAGTGTGACCTATATATGGGAAAACAAACAGGCAAACAAGCATTAGAAACATTTTACAAAGAGGGACAGATAGTGTGTTTAACAGACATAGACTTCAAAGCACTCATGCTAAATATCTCCAAAGAACTAAAGGAAACTATTTCTAAGAAGTAAAGGAAGGTATGATGACAATGTTTCATGAAATTGAGAATATCAATAAAGAGAGAAACATTATTAAAAAAGATTAGAGTTGTAAATTATGATAACCAAAATGAAAAAAAAAACCATTGTGTGGTTTAACAAGTGATTTGGGGTAGCAGAAAAAAAGTCAGCTACATTAAAGGTAAATCAATAGAGGCTATGCAGTCTGAAGAAAAGAGAAAAACACGTAAAAACAAAAAAAGGCAGAACCTCAGAAAAATGTGAAACACCATTAAGTGACCAATACCAATGAAATGAAATGTGAGTATCAGAAGGAGAGGAGAGAGAGAAAGGTGCAGAAAAAAATATTTGAAGATGTGTCCAGAAATTTGATGAAAAACATTAATAAACACACCCAAGTTCAGTGAACATCAAGTAGTAAACCCCAAGAGATCCACACCCTGATACCTCTTAGTCAAACTATTTAAAGCCAAAGACATAGAAAAAATTCCTGAAAGCAGTAAGAGAAAAACAACTCCTCACATACAAGGAAACCTCAATAATAGCAGACATATCAGAATGAATGGTGTCCAGAAGGCAGGAGGGTGACTTACAGTGCTGAAAGTGAAAGTGATCAACCCCAAATCTCATATCTAGCAAGACAGTTTTTCCTAAATGAAGGTGAAATAAAGACATTCTCAGATAAACAAATGCAGAGAATTTGTTGCCAACAGATTTGACTTTCAAGAAATGCTAAAAGGAGTTCTTCAGGCTGAAAGTAAATGACACTAGACAGTAATTTGCAATCATGTACACGCCCACAAAGCACTGGTAAACATAATTTTTATCTACACAAGTGATAATGTAACTGTTATTTCTTCTCCTTTATTCACTTGACTGACTTTAAAAACAGCTTCATAAACAGTATGTATATTATTGAACCTGTGCCATACAGAAATGTAATGTAACAGAATAACAGTACAAAGGAGACGAGTGGAAACAAAGCTGCTTTGGCGTACAGAGATGATACCAGCTGAAGTCAAAGCTACAGAAGGAAATGAACAATGAACAGTGAAATGAAGGGGCACCTGCACCCCAATGTTCATAGCAGCGATGTCCACAATAGCCAAACTGTAAAAGGAGCAGAGATGTCCTTCAACAGATGAATGGATGAAGAAGATGTGGTTTATATATACAATGGAATATTACTCAGCCATAAGAAAGGATGAATACCTACCATTTACATTGACGTGGATGGAACTGGAGGGTATTATGCTGAGCAAAGTAAGTCAGTCAGAGAAAGACAATATCATATGGTTTCACTCATGTGGAATATAAGAAATAGTGCAGAGGATCATAAGGGAAGGAAGGAAAAACAGAAGAAATCAGAGAGGGAGACAGACCATGAGAGACTCTTTACTCTGGGAAACAAGCTGAGGGTTCTGAAGGGGAGATGGGTGGGGGGATGGGGCACCTGGGTGATAGGCATTAAGGATGGTACATGATGTGATGAGCACTAGGTATGATATGCAACTGATGAATTATTGAACACTACATCTGACATATATAGTAATGATGTACTATATGTTGGCTAATTGATTTTAAATTAAAAAAAAAGAAGAGGTTAATTGAAAGACGTTAAAAAAATAAATGAACAATGAAGGGTAAATAAAATGGTTAATGTAACAACTGTATGGATATATATTCCTGTCCTCTCAACTTCTTTAAAAAATGTAAGGTTATATAAACTAGTGATTATAACAATTTGTATCATATATGAAACACATGCACACAGAATATATATAACAGTAATAGTGTAAAAGGGTGGGAAGTGAATGGAGCTATGGAGGAGTAAAGTTTCTCTGTTTTTGGAATTAGGTCAGTATAAATACGAGGTAGATTCTGATAAATTAAGGATATATGAGCACTAGAGCAATCACCAAGAAAACTGAAATATAAAATAAAATGACAAAAGAAATTAAATATCCCCTTAATCCTTTTAATACAAAAGAAGGTAATAAAGAAAGAATGGAGGAACAAAAAAGACATGAGATATATTAAAAATTAAAAATACAGAGATGTAAATTCAACCGTATAACATGAAGTGTGAATGGATTGTGTAATCCATTCAAAAGGCGGGTGTCACACTGCATAAAACAATCAAGTATATATTGTACTACCAGAGGCACACTTTAGATTCAAAGATACAAATAAGTTGAAAGTAAAGATAGAACAACTTTTTTTTTTTTTTTTTTGAGAGAGAGAGAATGAGACAGAGAGCACATGAGAGGGGGGAGGG